CTGTCAGTTTCAATTTTGCAATTATTCAAAGCAAATTTATCGCTTCGCGTATGCGACAAACTTGTTGAAAAATCAAACGATAATTCAGTTAATCTAGAAGTATTATTAAGTTCTTGATAATGATTAGAGATGTATTCATCGTATAACGCTTGAGATACTGGCAAGCCATCAGTTCGAAAAACTGGATAGTAAGGATCGGTTATCGTATTATAAAAACGTCGCTGCTTACATTTCTTGGGTGATTCCACTTCGTTATTCACACAGAGATTATGATTAAGTTTTGGCAATCCTAAGCCATAAGTCTTAAATATTATTTTATTGGAATGTTTTTTTAATGATTCTTCAATATTAGTGAGACTTGAGCTCATTGTATTTATATTTTTGTTGACGATTTTTTCCTTTGGTATTGCATTTTTTAATTTATTTAAACGCTTGCATCGTAGAGCCTCTTTCACAACATCTGGAATATCATCCATATTTTGTTCTTTATTATTGTTGTTTATTCCATTACTTTTGCTTTTCTGCTTTTCGTTATCTACAGGCAACGTATCACTTTCCTCAGATGTTGCACATATTGAAACAGCAAAATCGTGCAGCACACGATTTACATCTTTCAAAGGTGTTGAACAAACGCTTGGCGTTAAAGGATGTTGACACTTCTGTCGCTCAGGCCTATTGGTAGTCTCTTCTTTACGTTTTACTAGAGAATTATATGTTGAAGGATAAATGGTTGGAATACTATGATCCATATTATAATAAGTTGTATCCAATTCAGCCTCCTCAGGTACGGTAAAGATACGAGATGTATCACGTTTCATAATAGAAATAGGTTGATCCTTTATACTTCCTTTCGATAAACTCTTCAAGTAGAAAGTCAATATAAAATATTTCTTAATATTTACTTATAAATAAATATATAAAGAATTTCTTACACTAATAACTTATTATATTTATTGCAAAATCCAATTAATTATATCATTTTTTAGCAAAATTTCACAACGTACTTTTTAATCTATAATGCATTAGTTTAAATTATAATAAAAATGAATTAGAAACCAATTAATTCGGAATTTTATCAAGTTTCTTCCTGATTTTACTTTTCTTTTTATAATTCATTTTTTTATTAATGATTTACAATAAACAATCGAACGAATTTTAAATATGAAACCAATACACTTTATTAAATAAAACTCGAAGTAGGTTTACAAAATGTTTTCGGGAAAATAAATATTATTTATTTATTTTATTTAAATATGCACTATATAAATAACATTAAATTTATCTAATAAAAAAAAAAAATTCTAATTAAAATTTTGCATTTATATTTTAAATATCAAATGTTTATATCTATAAATTATATATTCTATGTTGTAATTATATATGCTGTTACTTATTAATGAATAATGACAGTATTTACTTAAAAAATATAAAGATATAAAAATAATAAAGATTTTTATCTAATAAATATAAAATGTTCTTATTAATCAAATGCTGCTTCAAAAATATAAATACTTTAAATTTAGTCTTGGATAAATTTTCACCAAATGTTTTAGAGATTTGGTCATTTTTTATTATTTTGTCATATATGCAGGTAACTTATTCATTAATGTATTTATATTGAAACTTTATATTTTATCTATGGTACCAATATAAAATAGATTTTCTCCTTTGTCTACTATGTATACTATAATAAGTAATTCTAAGCATAAAATATATTATTAAAGGAGTATTTTTTAATTGCATAACTGATGGAAATATTAAGAAATTTGAATATAATTTAATTCTAATTTTTCTGTAGTCCTTAATTAATAATGTATACAATAAATTTAAAGATATTTTTTCTTGATTTATTATATTTTGTCTTAGTTTTACAGAAATTATTACCTTTTTATAGACAGATTGTTTTAAAGATGAATCTAAATATGAACTATAACCACGCTCCATATTTGCTTCTTGAATCAATTTGAAAAATTGTCTTTGTTCAACAAAAATATGAAACAGTTGTACACCTACAGGTAAGTGAAAATTTGTCATTATTTTATCAGCAGGCGCCTAAAATTTAAATAATTATTAAAAAAAATAAAATAATTTGTATTTATTTTAGTTTCAAAACAATATAAACCTTTATTCTGTAAGGATCGGTAATAACTAGTAGTTTAGTCATATCAGCACTTAATTGTGATGCAACTACTCTAGAATTTAATAATCATATTGAACAAAATTAATTATAAAATTCTATAAAACTAATGGTTTCTATAAATACGTACTTATTATTGTAAAAAAGAGCTCCACCTACAATACCATTTGTTTCTTGACAATATTGAAGAACTTGCATTGCTTCTAAAAAAACATTACTAGCGCTCTAAATGAAATTATAAATTGATTTTGAATAAATAATTAAATTAATATGTATGTAATCAATGTACTAAGATAGCAGTAAAAAAAATAATTATACCCGTGGAAGTTTTAAAACTGGAAGATTGGAAAATAAACTAGCATTGTATTGTAATATTGGCAAATATGTTTCAAATATTTGATATAGTTTCTCAGTAAATTTATTTCTATCATTATTAAGAGATATTAAGATTTTTTCAAAATCACAATGAAAAAATTTAAGTAATGATTCCAAAATATCAGCACGTCGTTCTAAAATCCAATCTTGTATATTTCTATCTGTGCCTATTGCCTACAAATATAAATTAAATAAAAGCTAGTAGTTTTATAAAATTATTACATGCAATTAATAATAGTAATAACTGTATACAATTAATAATAATAAATAATGCAACTAATTCTTTTGTTTTAACAAAACTTTTAAATTATTTATATTAGTTTTTTCATGTTTATCTTTAAAAAGAAATTGAATAAAATTTTAAATTAGAAACAATTCATTTATATATTTCATTAAAACAAGAAATATATAATATTTCTGCTTTTCTTCTATATTTATTTGATTAAATAGCTGTTATTATCGATACTCACAAGTATGTAAGAACCAAATTTTTTCAAAACAAATTTCCCTCCTTGCAAAGAAATTATAGAAGGTGATGAAAATGACGTAGATAAAAATTGATTTACTCCCATCAATTGTCCAGCTAAAGCTAATCTTTGAGTTGGTGAAACCCATGCTGGATGGAAATACATAACAGCATCAGCAGGATCATCTTCCTCTTTATAGCACATTGCAGTGTCATAAACGAAAACTATCATCATTTCTCTGAAAATACAATCTTTAATCACTATTTTGATAAGAAATTATAAATATATACATATACGGATATATAATCAATTTAGCAAAATTGATTATTTATTTAAAACTTCAAGTTTTAAAGTTATTATTTAAATATAAATATTATGTTAAATTGAAATATATGTAAGATTTAAAAAAATTATTTACATTTATAATACAATAGTTTATATTTACATTTAGTACAACACTATTAAAATGCTTAAATAATTCCAAATATATCATGCTTATTAAAATTTTATCGTTAATTTTATTATCTTTATTTACCTATTTATCTTATTTATGAAATTTATTAAAATTATTTAAATTTATATATAGAAAAAATTTAGAATATTATAATTTATTAAATTTAAAAATAACTCCAATTAATTACTATTTAAATTTCAATAAACTTAATATTTACTTAAAATAATTTAAAGATTACACATTCTAATGTATTAATTCAAACATATTATCTTTTATATATTATTTCACATTAAAATATTATCTTTTGTAAAAGAGATTATATTATAAGGAATTTATAAAATATTCATTTAATTGTGCTATGAATTGTAAATTTTAAATTATATTTATTAATGTTATTTATTTAAAGAACTACTATCCTTATTTTATATCAGACATACATAAATAATTAAATTTAAAATACTTTAAATAATGTCGCCCTTGTTGACTTCAAAGGTATGAATTTTACTTGTTGTGCAACAAAGAATACCAATAATCTTATTACCATACATCATGCATTTGATTACTTAATACAATTTTTGTCGTACTTTGCCATGATGATGTAGGCCAAGCAATTGTCTATTTATGTTGAATCTGTCAAAATTGATGCTTTCCAATTTTTGAATTACTGCTGCAATATGGACTTTGAAATACAGAAATATGTTATAGCTGCGGCGTGCAACCTGTCTTGAAAACCGTTGCTCCTTTCAACGATTTTCAAGAATGTGCGCTTTAATAAATGTACGGTTCCTCCGTTATATAATGAACATTGCCTTCATAATATCGCCATCCAACAAGTAGTATTCGTCTGCTTCGTCCTCATACCGGGTGTATTGATTCGCTCATTTATGTTTTTCACAGTCCAACCTAAAAACGCACGCGTGTAGGTGCGTATGTGTGAGAAGTTGGCGAGTTCTGACACTTGATTGGCGCATTTTAATGCTGTTCACCGTGTCCTTCTTCTCGAGGCTCGGACCTCATTCACCAGCTTCGCTACCCAACTTTCTTGCTGGTGCGTCGAGAATGCATACATTTATATAAATCACGGACACGTTATTTCTTAACTCACATAATCATCCAATAAATCTACCTTGTGTATCAAGGAACGTATGCTTAAACATATCCCGCAGTGAGAAACAATCGAAGTGAAAACATAGAGACTGGAGTTTTGATGCAGTCTGCGGGCAAAGACACGTGGTTGTTAACAATCATCAGCAAATTTTCCCATTAAATTATAAAATAACATCATTAGCGCCGTGTCCATTTATTTTGTATATAAATAGAATGGCACAAATGTTTTTCGGACGAATATTCTAGTATTTAAAAAAATATCCTTATACATTCTCAAGCAGATATATCCTTAATTTTTTAATTAGATATGAAAGTATTTTTATTATGTATAAGACTTAAATTGTATGGTAATTAAATTATACTTTGGTTAATTATACTGGCTCTGTGTATAAATAAATACTCTTATGTAATTGATTTATATTCTGAGCATTATATAAAATTATAGAAAAATTACAAATGGATTAGTATTACGTGGTTAATTGGAAGTTTCAATGCAGAAAATTAAATTTGTAATTTGACATGGGTTACGTATTTCGTGCGCATAATAGCAGCACGCACATTTAAATGGACTCTTTATATTAAAATGCAATTGTATTATTTTACTAATTAATAAAATGCCTCGATGAAGATTTTTAGAAAATTTTTATGCAAATGTAAAATCATTGTTTTCAAGTAGATTTTATAAGTGATTTGTAATAAACAAAAAGATAGGTAAGTTTTATTGGGTTTCAATAAACATAACCCTATTTTACAAAAAATATCTTTTAAATAATGTTAATATTATGTATTAATTGAATTTTTCTTCAAACGATATATCTTTTTAATAATCTATTTAATCCTTTATATCTTAAAAAATAAATCAACTAATGTATAATTTATATTTCATAGTTAAGTTAGAACTATCTTTATTTGAATAAAATTTTACCTATATCTATTTTACCTGTCTGGTGCCATTGGAGTCTGATATCTTCTTTCAGTAATGGATCACACAAAATACATGAAAAGTATTGATGATAAATGCAATGAACTCAAGAGTCAGTATGAGAAGTGTTTTAATGCATGGTTTTCTAACAAATTCCTGAAAGGTGTTAAGAATGACTCCATGTGCACCTCCCTATACAATGTGTACCAGCAGTGTCTCAAGGTAAATATTCTTTTTAATATAGGATTTTTATAAAACTAAAAGCTTTTACATTATGGATGCATGTAGAGAATTGAAGCAAATATATGACAATTGCTTCAATAATTGGTTTGTGGAAAAATTTCTCAAAGGTGATAATAACGATGTTCAGTGTGCAACTTTACTTAAAGTGTATAAAGATTGTGTTGAGGTAAGCTTTAAAATATCAAAGGTCTTTTCAATAGTTAATTTTTATAAGGATAAGCATCATATAAAATATCAATAATTTTTTATATTTATAATTATATTACATTATTAATACATAAAACTTATTATGTATATAATATAGGATTTGATTATAGATGTATATAAATAATAGTAAATATTTATGTTGATAAATCAATTTTTTGTCTAATTTCAGAAAGCAATGAAAGAACATCAAATTGACTTACACGATGTTGAAATCAATCATCTAGAAACTAATAAAGAAAAAATTCCTCCAAGTTGATGCCAACAAATATACTTATGTAAATTGGTATCAAATACGTAATAAGACATATTCAGTGTTTATAAAAGTTGAATATTATTTATACCTCATCGAAATTATAATCTTAATAAAACTAAATTATTTCCTTCATTTTCTGATTATCTACCATTTACTGTTATTCTTATTTTATAATTGCATATTTAAACATTGTATTTATAGACAAATTTACATTCAGAATATTACATTATTTATATTCATGTTTTGTCAAACTTATTCTAAAATTAAATTTATAACTTTTTTAGATGTTCCGTTTTAATTCTTATAAATTATCGTAAAAGTAGTTCTATATATAAAGCCAATAATATATATTATGTTATTACCAATACCAGTGTTATATATTATTATAGTTTTTACTTAGTCATAAATTCTTTGTAAAAAAAACTATTTTTAAACCATTTCTGGTAATACTATTATGCAATATTAAATCAAAATAAAATTAAGTTAATATTTTAAATATTTTAATCATTGAATCCTGCTATTAAAAGAATTTTAACATCTCATTTATTTTAAACATTGAAAAATAGTATTTTATTTACTTTTAATAAGATTTAATATTACTAAAGATATATTTTTAAATTTGTGTATGCAAATATAAATGTTATTTTATTTTTCTTTGTTAATATATTTGATTAAAATGTGTTATTAATCTATCAATTATACAGAAGTAAATAATTATCTAAATGTATTATATGAAATAGCTCAATTAATTAATTAATTTGATATTATAAAATCATATGTTAAATATAATTCTGAAGTTATTAGTAAAATTCTATTATTTATAAATACTTATTTCATTGAATGAACTATAGATCTTTATGTTATGGTTTAGTAAGGTTATTAAAAATTTAAACAATTTAAACAACTTTGGAGGGAAAATAAAACTTTATATATTATATTCCTTTTATAAAAAGAATTTGATTTTAATTATTAAGTCTACAATGGTTTTTTACATTATTCCAATAATAAAGAACCATAGTTATAAAAATACAGTATTTGAATTTATGAGTTAAACCAATTTTAAAAGTATATGTATGTTTCATTTTAAAACTAGCTATAAAAATACATTATAAAAAATTAAATTAAATATAAATATGTTTCAATGTAAGTCGAATAAGATGGTAAACATTTTTAAGCATATTTTTATTACGATGTTTGTGAAGACATTTTAAACTAACGAAAACTTTAACTTTGTACACCACTGACATATTTTGACTAACGCATTGGTCAAATTCCCAGCACTAACGAAAAGCTTAATCGCTATCAGCACGGCTGGATTCAGCGCTACTGCCTTCGGCTTCTTCGGATACTGCATCACTGACTTCCGACTCTGATTCTTTTTTCATATCGACTTTTGTTTTTTTCGCTGCAGGTTTTTTTTCCTATATTAAAATTAACAAACATGTTTTTATTAATATTAAATAGTACTATTTGACAAATACGGTGTACAATTTTCTCAAAGAATTGAGTTGAATACAATTGAACTGAATACAATCATAAGATAAAAAAATTAAAAGTGCTATTTTTATATTAAATTGATGCTTTAAATTAAATTAATCAAAAATAATGTCAAGAAAAAACAAGACTTTAACAAAATTAAGTCTCTTGTTACAAATAATTTTATTAAAATATAAATTAATTACTTTTGCTGGCTGGATTTTTAATACAATTCAATAAAACAATTATATTTGTCATAAAAGTGATCGTTTAATTTAACAGTTTTTAATTAAGGATGGTAATAATGTTTATTGGTATTTATTTAAAATAAATAAAATTACTAATTTAGATTATTATCCTACTTACAGCCGTCTTTTCTTCTTTATCACTTTTATCACTTTCTTCTTCTGATGATGAATTCTTTCGCTTATTACTTTTCTATAATGCAAATAATATACCAATAATTTAAGTACTTGTATACATTTGAATGAATAATTTAATAATATAAATACATACGCTTCTAGAGTCTTCTTCGTCACTACTACTTTCCTCACTAATGTACTCCTTACTCTTATATGTCCCTCCTGATACAGGTTTAATTGGAGAATCTTTCTTTACCTCTTTTTTTTTACTACTCTTTTTCTCTTTTTCTTTAAATTCCTTAGCAGTAGTTCCACCACTACTAGTTTTATATTCTTCCATAGCTTTAATATATTCCTCTTTAGCTTGAGCTGCTTTTTCTTCCCATTTTGACTTATCCTTTAATTCTTTCCACATCTCACCACCTTTTTGTACAACTTCGGTAACTTTGAGCCCCGGATATTTAGCTTTAATTTCCTCACGTACACTATTTAAATATAACATATAAGCACTGGCTGGTCTCTTTGGTTTATTTTCATCTTTTTCTTTTTTCTGTTTACGTGGTTTTCTTGGTTTTTCAGACTAATCATTGGAAAAACGTTTATTAAATACTCATATTTTATATTAAAATAAAAATATAAATATATATATATTAATTTTATGAATATTTGAACATACTACTGTCTTTGCTGATTTTGTTTTTTTTTCCATCTTTTCCTTCTTTTCTTTTTTGGCACTACCACCTGATGCATCTGAACCATCATCACTATCTGATGTATCATTAGGATTGCTATCATACTCTTCAGCAACATCGCTTTCCTCCTAAATAAAATAAATAACTCAATTAACTTGATTAATTAAAATTTTTGACAATCAAACAGATAAAACTAACTTGCGTGGGTTTAAAATCTTCATCTGTGGATTCATCGTCGTCGTCATCATCATCATCTCTTTCCTTAGCTTCTGCCTTAACTCTTTCTAAATATGCATCAGGTTCATCTTCTTGATCGCTATCTCCAAAGTCATCATTATAATTTAGTTTATCCTAAAATTAAACAAATAATATATACAGTATAAATGAAAGTAAAAGATAAATATATAGATATAAATTTCGAATGCTTAAAATAATAAATTATAATTTAATTTGTTAACGATATCTTTATTAATACAGTTTTATGATTTTGAAGTTTATTATTATAGATTTGTACTTACACCTTTACCCCTATTTTTTACGCGGAGCTTTTTAGAAGTAATAAAATCATAAAGTTTCCCATATTCTTCCTTCTCAATACTACTAAATGTATGAACTACACTGGTTGTTAATTCTATCTCGAAATCAAAAGATCTTGTAGATCCGCCTCCTCGAGCAAAATTAACTGAACTGATTTCCTCAAATCGTATATGAATAGGGGGCTTATGAACATAGATAAATCCTCTCTCTAGCGGATAAAGGTAACCTGCAGCTGCTTTAAATGAACATCCAATAGCAGGTGTACCCGAGTGGCTTCAATCAATTATAATTTAAATCATAAAATTCAATATTAAATTACTTAATCGAAATAATAAAATTCAATATTAAATTACCCTTGAAAACTTCCAGGACCAGTCAATTTTCTATTAATAATAACTTTCATGACTTTTCCTAGAACTTCATAAGTAGGACCAGAAAGCTCCTTTGTTAACTTGTCTTCATATTTTTCTTTCAACTCCTTTCTGTATAAATGAATATGCATTATAAAAAATTTGTATATTAGAAAAAAATTAAAATAATTAAACTAACGGTAATATATTTACTCGGTAAAAGGTAATTCAATAGATGTTTCTTCTTCTTGATTGAAAAGCAATACTAAATAATGATAACGAGTCTGACCTTGTTTAATTGGTGGATCTAAGCTAACCTGAAAGGTTAATTATATATTTATACCAAAATCAAAATATTAAAAAGTTAAAAGAATAAGTATATTAAAGAAATCAAATAACTTACTACAAAGAACATTTGTCTGTTATCCTTATGTGGTAATAAGAATAATCGAAGTACAGTAGACATAGGAATTTTGTAATCAAAAGTTTTACCATGAAGTTGAAAAAATGATTGAAAAATTTTAATATCATAACGACCACTAAAATGATTTATATAAAAATAATAATTTTCCAGAAGATAGTATTATTGTAAAATATTTTTAAGAAAAAGTAAATATTAAAATAATACCGAGGTGTAAGACACTGAATCTCTCTAAAAATGGCAATTGCATCACCACTAACACTAATAACTGAGGCTTTTTCCATTACTTCCTTGTGAAATTGATCTACAGGATCTTGATCATTAGTATCACTAACTGGAATATGAAATCTCATTTCAAGCAAACTAACTGGAGCATCATCATTCTAAAACAATTAAATATAAATGTTGAATAACAAAGATTTCCTTTTAAGTTAAATTAAATTTTAATTTTCAAAGCCTTAAACTAATTTTGGATGCATTGGATTAATTGTAAATATATTAAATTACATAATAATGAGTTAATAATAGTAATTTTACTGTATTTAATTACAAAAATAAAATTAAAAACAAGAGAAATTATATTTTATAACAAATATTGTTATAAACTTTGAAAATCCACTTATAATAACTTGTAATTAATATCAAATTATATATATGTTATAACTGATTTAAATATAATCTTACTTGATGGAATTCAAGTGTAACTTCATTTTTTCCTGTAGTACATTGTGAGACATCATAAAGTGGAATTTCAAAGGCAGTATGGTGTCCAACATCAAAGCTTAAAACTGAACCATAAAACTTTGCAGTCCCCCAATTCCAGCCTTTTAAACTTAATTCTTTTTCTAACATTTCTTTCTTGTAATTAGTACTAAAAAATTTTGCTATTTTTTCTTGTTCCTATAAAAATGACACAAAATTATATAAAAAATTATATAAAATCTTTAATGAAATACTTAAAAATGAATATATACCCCTTCTTTAAATCCTCGAAATCTGTGTAAAGTACCATTTTTCAAAAATATTCGAAGACCCCATGTTCCAACAAATTTTTGATAATTAACCATTTCCATATCAGATGCCGATATTTGTTCTACTTTTCCTGTCTTTTGATTTTTAAATATCAAATTTTGATCAGTCAATTTTAATCTTCCAGGTGTCTGAAAATTAGATTGTAGTCTATATACATATGTGTATGTATGTGTATGTATGTGTATGTATGTATATATGAAATTTTTCAATAATTATTTAAAATATAGAAAGCATATATGATCATATAACATTTTATAAATAGATATAAACGATTAATTTAAAATAGACAACTGATTTCATTTTAATCATAGCAATAATTTCCACGTTATAAAAATCAATTGCTACTTACCATTGCACCTTTAACCTCAGCGGTTATGTCGGGGTATTCTAAGAAATCCATTTTTCTTCAATGCGATTTAAATGACAAATGGATAAGCAACCAATTTTAAAATAGTATATCCTGTAACAACTAGATTTTTTAATGTTTTCTTTCACTTTTTAAAAATAATTGCCAAAGTAAAGATGTTACATACAAATTCAATGCTCACAAAAGCCAGGAAGAAGTTGCGTGAGCGCGCGCTTAAACGTTGCTCAACAAGAATATCATCGCACTCAGAGTTCGGGCTCTGTAAAAATATGAGGTAATAACGTACGGGGACTCACACACGCAATGCATGCATCGCGCACGGAATTGTACATACAGAGTATACTAGTCCAGATAACAATTTGCGGAAACGATCCCCATTAGCCCAACACGCGTATGTTGCGCCACCTGGACAAGATACTTGCACTTGTCAATTGGGCGATAGAAAGATGAAGTAATATTGAAACGAAGGTATCCTTTCGGTCTTACTATTTTCGCGCTAACGCGTCCCATATTCAAATTGAAATGAAAAATAGAGCTTGTTGATTGACAGCGCATTTATTTATCGAGAAATTCGTCATTATCCAAATAGAAAGAAGTTATGTTAGTAGCTGGTAGAAGGTCGAGCTCGGTCAGAACTATGCCAAATTGACAACGGCGAGGGATGCTTCCTTCAATTTACGAGTTCCAACCGCCAGTCCCGAGTAAAAAAATAGCACCGAGCAAGTGAGCGTTTTTAAATAAAGTTCATTCGTATATTCGTATAAGGAACCCGTCGGCTTTAATTGGCCATTTGAATTAAGTTTCAGCAATTTCAGATCCAGAAAATTCTCTTAAATTTTATTTCTCTTACACTTTAGTATATAATGTTAAATATTTAACATTATTTATGCACATTTGTATAAAGTATTTTAACTTATTGTAATGAATAATAATCACATACAAGAACTAATTTGTCTGCAAATTTTATATTGATACAAATTTTATTGAGCAACACATTTTGTTTGTTAAAGTGTTTTTGTTATTGTATCTATGAATGTAACTAATTTTTATGATATTCCATGCCTTTTGAATGTATTTGTAATTTTTATGCTTAATATTAATAAAGTGCAGCTTATTTAAAGTATATTTAATATTTCTAATACATATCAATTCATTGTTATTTTAATTATAACATTCTATATCACAATTAATGATTGATAAATCTAAAACTTGGTATATATTAGTTTCAAAATTAAATGTAACAGAAAAAATTCTAAAATAACATTTCTTTTGCATATACTGTGTATATTTTAATTATTTTATAGTAAAACATTTTTTTACAAGTTAAATTTATAAATATATACGTAACATTTAATTATTTCATACCGTATATATAATTTAAAAGTAAGATCCATACTCGCAGATGCTATGAATGCTGTATTTCTACCAATACATATGACTATAACAGACAATGTGTGTATTAAATGTTATCAATTATACCCATTGTTTCCACACATTAATTCTGAGATAACAAGTTATTATAATTAAACTATTTGACCCATACATGAAATTTCTTCATCCTATTAAAAATAAATAATTGTAATATATACTTAAAATTGGATCTATGTATGGCTAAATATATTATACTTTGATAAAAACAAAATCTTTACTTTATGTAATCATCCAATTAAAAAGTCTTAGTCATTAAACTTACGGAAACAGATTTTCTGGAATAGATCTACTTCTACGTTTTAATTTTTGAGTAAGAATTGTAACTTTATCTTGTAATTTTTTAATAATATCTTCTGTTAGCTATTGTACTAACTTTTATTGTAAGTACCTAAACATAAGAATAAATGAAATTATTTTTCTATGTATACAGTATATAAGAGAATAATTTTAAATTTAATAAGTTTATGAATGATGGAATATTATTATTATATTATATTAATATTACAAAATATTTAAATTATATCATAAAATTAATATTTATACTTGTTTTTAAATTGATATTATTTTTTTCAAGAAGTAATAATATTCCATGTATATCTATATTATTAGAATTATATCTAATAATAAATTAAAGAAAAATTACTTTTTACTTCAATTAATTGATTCTTTTAAAAAAGTTAGTAGGCAGATTCCTCTGGAACCAGAGTTAGAAACTAAAAACATTCTGTAATAAATAATAATAAGTGTTTCACAATAGGTAATAATTAAAAAAATTTTAAATAATTATTTTGTCAAATTGAACAATTTACAAAAAGACATATTAAAAATGCGTGTGGGTGTATCTCTGTGATTACTTAAATTAACTTACATTAATATAAAATATAAATTTAAATACGCGTTTATTCATTTGAAAAAATATTTTAAGTTAACAAAACTTTTTACCAAAAATTTTAAGTGACTGAATTTAATTACATCAATCGTTAAAATAAATTGAAATTACCTACGCGCACAATAAAGCATTTCTTTTCATTTTGATGTCTAAAAATATTTGTCAGTTTAGTCGATATAGTTGCAGTTGCAGATATAAAGATGCATTTGGATTTTGGCGAATTTAGACACAAGTTAATTAGCTGTTTGTCAAAAAGCAACAATGTATACCACGAAAAATGTTTTGCAAACGCGCGAAATATATGTATTAATGAAGGAAAACTATTTCAAGAAGTAATAATTGTTTGTATATATATATATATATATATATATACATATATATATGATAATAATATAAAGTAGTAAAATTTTAATATTTTATATTTATATTTATTTTTATATTTAAAATTTATAATAGTAAAAAAATAGTTGAAATATAAAAATAATAAAACTATATAAATTATAAAATATCATTTTTAATGCAATTAAAAATCAAATATTTTTCAACCCTATACAAATGCATATACGCATATATGTTAATGCGCGTTATACATAAATTATGCAAGGGTCGATAGGCTTACAGCGTAATCATACTGCGCATGCGATTTTTTAGATCTTGTGCATTGTTTACGATATTTGACGGCTTGCTAAATGATAATCATCAAGACGTCAGCAGTAAGCGCTTCAAGAACAATATTAAATATTAGAATACTCTTATTTTCTGAAATGATTAAATATAAATGAAGACATTTGTATATATAAAAATGTATACATTATTAAGTGGATTTTATAAATATCTTGTTCAGAAAGATGAATTTTTTATTTTAATATTAGGACTCGATAATGCCGGTAAAACGGTAAGTTTATTAGAAAGTTTCAAAATAACCTCTATGTTATGTTTTTTTACTTTATCTTGCTTTGTATTAGACATATTTAGAAGCTGCAAAAACTAAATTCACAAAAAATTATAAAGGAATGAATCCTAGTAAAATAACTACAACAGTTGGATTAAATATTGGGAAAATTGATATTGCCGGAGTTCGACTTAATTTTTGGGATCTTGGAGGACAAGAGGAATTACAATCCTTATGGGACAAAGTAAGTTTTAATTATTTAAATATAAATTGTTATAAAATTCTAATATTAAATTCTATTTAGTATTATGCAGAATCACATGCTGTAATTTATATTGTTGATTCATCAGATAGGGATAGAATATTAATATCAAAAGAAACCTTTGGTTTGTACAAAACTAAAATTAAATTTTAGACTTTTAATAATTGGTCATCCTTTGAATTGAATAATTTCAACAATATAATGTTTTAGATAAAGTGATATTATCAGAACATCTACAAGGAATCCCATTATTAGTATTAGCAAATAAACAAGATATACCAGACTGTATGGGTGTTCGAGAAGTAAAACCTATATTTAATCAAAATGCTCATTTAATAGGTAGAAGAGATTGTATGGTTATGCCTGTTTCTGCTCTTAATGGGTAAGGAATTTAAAAGTTATTAATCTAAGTTTTATTTTAATTTTTGGTTATTGCACTTTATTACAAAAAATATTAAATTTTTTTTTAGAGAAGGTGTAGACGAGGGAATTCATTGGTTAGCTGATTGTATCAAAAGGAATAGTGATATACGACCTCCTAGAAATCAGGACAATAACTGCATAACATAAAAAACGTTTTACATTTTATTTGCTATTATTTATTCATATATTATACTTATATATTTGTATCTTGAATAAATTATGTTTCTATTTAATAATTGGATTAAGATTTACTAAGATTTATTCTGATCAAACAAATAATTTTAGTATTAACATATTCATTTTTTTTCTCTTTTTAATTAAATTCCTAAAATTTATTATAATAAAATTTAAAATATAATACAAATTAAAATATAAAGCTTAATATTTAAAATTTAAGTCTGTAAAAAATCTGTAAATATAGATCTAACAATTATTACTTGATGTTTGTAAGTGTGTAACCTGTTGATAGCAAGATATGTACTAAGATAATAGAGATAACATGCTCTAGCAACTCTTCTACTTTTAGTGGTAATTGATAAAAACTTTAAAGAGTGTTACACAGTTTTTGTATATTGATTTATTAAGTTTCACATTGCATATTTATCATCATGTGGACCTATTATGACGCAGACGACTGAAGTATTCTACCACCTGAATTTAACAGAAGGTAAATTAAATTTTATAAGCGCTATTTATGATTAAGAAAGTTTTTATTCTATTATAAGTATTTGTGTAGTCTAAAAAATTTCATCATTAATAGACATTTTGAAGTTAATACTTCGAAGTTGGTGAAAAACTGATTTTTTAGCATATGTATATGCGTCCATATGTGTGCTACGAATGTGCCATTTCTATGTAATTAAACAAAAATAATATAATAATTTGGTTATATTCTATTAATAATATTATTATTAATATTCTATTCTAATATCTATTAATAATAATAAATAAATTTACTATATAAATTACTCGTATATAATTAGAGGTTTTATTAAATAATGCTAAGTGCTTTTGAATAATAAACAAAAACCAATTAATCAAAATTAAATCTGTAAATGTGAAAGTATTCCCGGTTTCTATTATCGGTAGAGTATCTGGTTTTATTACGTTCGGCAATGACATATTTGTTTTTTTTTTCTTAAATATTGCAAAGACAAACATTATGCATATATTACAACTTATTGTATTTGATAAAGTAATATTTCATTTAATTTTTTAATTTTAAATTAAAGCTGAAAATATAATTGTTACTAATTATAGTTTCGATTTCATACACAATCGAAGATAGCTCAATAAAACAGTAACTTAGTCATCCGATAGTCAGTCATTTTGCCTGATCCGAATAGCAATGTTGCCAAGATTTTCTAATCTATGAAAATAGATATTTTATTAATATTATGTGAATATATACATATTTTATAAATTACATTTATAATCTGTAATTTTGTCAACATTTTAATAAAGCAGACATAGAAATACATTAATATAAATTCAATTTTGAAAACAATAATTTCGAAATAAGATAGAAATATAAGGAAAAGGACAAAAATGACACGTTTATGTTATATAAATATTTCAGATGGTAAAATAAATACATTTGTTTATTATAAATGCATTTGTTAAGTACAAATAATCTGAAGAATCGTATAACAGAGGTAGTGAATATTTGATCTGTATACATAATTTATTATAACAAATATAATATAATAAATATTTATTCATGAACATGTATTATAAAATTAATACAATCAATTATTCATTGTGAAAAATTATATTTAACACGACTTTACATTTTAAAACACAACTGTCTATAAAAAAATTTTTAATCTTATAAAATAAATTTATTTATTTTCGAAAGAAGATTATATTGAATAATTAATTGTAATAAATGTTTTTCTGATATATGACAATTAGGTTGACATATTTCTATATTTAATTTATCAAATGCATTAAATTTCGTCTAAATTTTATTTTAAATTTTGCTTTAAAAAATATATTTTTCCATTGACATTTACACCCAACTAAAATATAATTACATATAAAAATTTTTTTTCGCTTTTTTTTAGTATTTTTAAATATTTTTTTAAAGTATTTAGATAAATTTTCAAAATTCAAATATAAAAATCTTTTTTCTATCATATAAATTCTGTGATATCAATTATTATAATAATCGATTTCATTAATATACGATAGCAAATTATGTATCGATTTCATTATAAATATATTATAGAAACAAATTATAATCTTGCTTAAAATATGTATTAAAAATTATAAATCAATTATAAAATGCCTGAGAGGTATATTACACACGCATTAAGATAATTATGCATCGATATTTTGTAGATACTAGCTTATTTAAAATGATTATTTGATTCGTTAATCTTACTTCATTTTCTCTTAAGATCAGATAGAATATATCAGTATGTTATAAATGTTGTAACATAATACAATGTAATATAATAATAAGAAGTATATAATAAATTAGTAATTAGAAATTATTTTCTTGTACATGGTTACCATAACTTCTTAATAGAGTTGAATAAAATTGTTTATGCTGCTAGAAAAATATTTGATAATCCTATGATCATAATAAGCAATATTTATTTAATAAACGATATTTCATGATAATTTCAGTATATATATATATATATATATATATATATATACTCATGATAAATGCTAATATCAATTTGTTGTATGAATCTTTTTGCTATTTTGTATTTAATTTAAAAATTCAAGGCAAGACCAAAATCTTTAGGATAACTTAACATTATGATTAAATTTCAAAATAATTCGATACATTTCGGAGAAAAATAACGTTTATGATAAAAGTATACTATTGAGCATCAACTGACAAAATAATGAAGATATTACGATTGGAGGTTCGTTGGTATTTATATAGGAATCCATAGCATTATGTGAGTTATAGGAATTTCGAAATAAGGTCGTCGATGAGGACAATCATGGTAGACGTGCAGGATATTTTACATTTCCCGCCTGCAATAGCCCCCAAACGCAATTCGAATCGAACAAGCTCGGCAACATTGCCTCGTGCTCAACGCCCCCGCGAAACGTCTTAACAGAAGCAGCTGTGGTAGGCAGCGCGAGTAGAGAGATACGAGTAGCGCAAGTAGTCGAGTAGATGAGTAGCCGAGCAGTGAGTAGCGATTATCGAGTGGCGAGCGGTGACGTCCAGGCTATACGTCGTGGTAACAGTGTCCAATAGTGGCTCCCTCGTCACTCGAATCCCAGTCTCGACTCTTCAAGTCCCATCTTTATCAGCGTTGCCGTGCGTGGATTGTGTCCAGTGCTCGTGCCTATTGTCCAGTCTCGCACGTGTGAGTGAACAACTGATCGTTGTTGGGTATTATTTAGATCGTAGAGTTTAGGCCGTGGTAGCCCTAGATACGGAGGGATATCCATAAGGGCTAAACCAACGACTGCTAGGACAATCGACTAGTTAGCGAGATCTGTCGAGTAATTTCCGTCCCTGCATTGGACTTTGTGCGAAACCGATTTTATGAGAAACTATGTCAAAAGCTTCGATATTAAGATTTGTCGGTCCTGAGGATTAGAGGCAGGCAAACATTTTTCCGTCTAATCGCTCTTTCCTCTATATCATTTTATTTATCTTTTCCGTACGGGGACAGTGTCTTTGCATCCATTAGCCCCTTATTCTGGGTATGTATATATTTCGTGTGTGATAACTTTCTTTCCCGTTAAAGCACCTTATTTTTATTTTATATTTTCGGCCGTTAAGTACTAAAGTCTTTAAAATTGCCTTTAAAATAGCCAACATTTGCAAAGGTTTGAGTAATGTTGACATCCAGAGTAACTTCTTTATCCGTCAAAGCGTACCATGACCGAAACAATCAACAGTGCAAGCTATTTAAAAAGCTCATGATGATAAGTGTAAGGGGGGCAAGCAAGGTGTATGCTTGTGTGCGTGCGTTTGCGCTCGCGATGTGTATTCACGTACTCATAGCGATGACGACCATAATTGAGAAAAGGTGTGTACACGCGCTTTTCTTTTCTATTTGTTCATATGGTTTCTTGTAGTAGTATGTAGACTATAGGTAACTCATCGTCGCCCTTATAGTCTTTGTTTTCGTTGTCTTCGTCATGTCAGGTTGTTATCGCGTTTTCATTATCACCGCCGTAATTCCAAGGGCATAGAAGCAAAATCCTCTCGTGGATGTAAAAGAAGGGTTTTGAAGGTACAAGCTTCCGTGGACTATGCGTTAACTGGCTTTCAGTGATTTTTCCAAGTCTATACTTGTCACTGGCTTAGAGACTATAAAGGCAAAGAGGTGTGCAAGTGGGTGTTGCGCGCGTGCCATAACTTAAGTCGACGACGTGTACGGTTTCTCTTCAAGAGCGTGACGATTTATTTGTTCATATTTACTAGCTCGTTTTACTTCACTGTACACTTATCTCCATTTCTTCATGACTGTTTTCTATTGTTGTACAATTAGTCTAATATTCTTTTATTGTTCATTGAGGGAGCGAAAAGCGAGGCAGGCGCTACTCGACAGCTGTAACCTGTATATTCCTCTACATCAAAGTACTTTATTAAATAACTGTTATAATACGTGGATTGGCAATTGGAATTTAATGCAATCCATGTTAATGTTGATAATATCTCAAGTGTATTGCTTCAATTGAAGATAATTTTTTATTTATAATTTATGATTTACAATTGAAAAATTTATGCATCCTATTAAATTTGTATATAATGATTTTAATTTTTAAAAATAAATTTTGATAACTTAAATTTTATGGAATTTCCTTAAAATGAATAATATTAATTGATTATTGAAAGATTTGGTTAAAACAAAAATTATTTTATTCTATTCATTCAATTAAAATTATTGAACACTTCATTTGTAGTTGCCTAATTTTTCATTTATTAATAAATAAAATCATTAAAATGGAGGTGTAAGTAACTACAATTGTAAGTACATTTTATAACATGATAAACTTAAAATTAATTTCTATTTTTTATATTCAATTCTATAATTATATAATATAAACTTTAACTTATAAATTTTACATTTTACGTAACATTTATCTTGATCTTTTTGATATAATTTTATTTTATTTAGACAAGTAGTTTTTATATCTTAATTTTGAATATAACTTATTTATAACAACAATTATTGCACATACCAACTTGAGCTTATTATGTCTATAGATTTATTAATTATTGAAATATCAAAAGATTTACTAATTGGTATTAGTATAATTTTGTTATTCGTTGCCATTGTTACTTGCTTTATATTTTGTTTAAATTATTAAATTTTTAAAATAACGAAAGTATATATATATTTTTTAAAAAGCACCATTAAAGAATATTTTCTTAATTCTTTAAACAGCAATAGATTGATTTAAATATATCATGAGTCGTATATGTCTAATAGGACAAGGCGAGGTGGTAACAAGACTCGGGTGCAGTAATTAACTACAAATCAAATTTTGTTTGCCTTTGCAACAGTGGCTGGAGAAGTACCAACCAAATAGCTGAGAGACAATGAACGCCTCAGAACATGGGTAAATGTCCTTTTCTTGAAGATATCTAAAATATGCAAATCACTCAACTAAATGACGATATCATTATGTCATTGCCAAACTTATAATAATATAAAAATGTGTTCAAGTGTGTTTAATCAAGCATGGATGTGTATTTTAGGTTTAACCCAGCTTTTAACATGGCTTCCATTAAGCAAGCCATCAATGAGGCAGTCGAAAGAGGTGGGTTATTTGCCAATGTTCTTCAATATTGTTTTTTATTTACTTTTACAAATCACAGCACTATTTATCTAAATCATTGTCACTGCTTCTACATTACTATATTATAGGTTCAATTGCAAACTATGATTTTTATAGAATAATTTATTATTTAAAGAATAAATTTTAGCTTTTTAAGTTTATATTGATGAAACATAAATATATAAAATCAAAAATAGCATGTAATAATTAATGGCTAATTGAAAAATGATAATTAATATATGGTAATTTTTTTTAATCTAAATGCTAATATTTTAAAGTAACGAAACTACATAAAATTATTTTAAAACTAAAATTTTAAAAAGCTTTGCATTTAACGCACTGCTACCATCTAACCACACTATGCACTGATAATACTGTTAATTAAAAGTTTCAACAGTGAGAATGCCAGCACCTACTCGATTGCGTGACCTTATACGTCAAATTAGAGCAGCAAGAACTGCTGCTGAAGAAAGAACAGTTGTCAATAAAGAATGTGCATATATTAGATCTACATTTAGAGAAGAAGATAGTGTCTGGAGATGTCGTAACATAGCAAAACTTCTTTATATTCATATGCTAGGGTAAATATAATATTTGTAAGAATATCAATTTTTTTAGAATACGTACACGTTGAGAAAATTGATTTTTGTTATAAGTTTTTATTACTACATGTTTGTCATTTTTTACAACAATTAATAGGTGTTTTTCTTTTTAAATATGTTACAATTATAATTTAACATTATAACATTATAATTTAATTCTAAGATTTAAAAAAAAATACCATCGATTAAAAAAGGTTATATAAAATTTATGATCTTAGTCAGTTACTTATTAAATATTTTTCAAGAATGCAATTCTTTAAAGTATAGATCTATATATTATTTATATATAAATTCTACCTAAGCTTATTGTATTTTATAAATATTGATAGAATAAGAAAGATATTTTTCATTATCAAGTAATAAGTATTATATAATATATATTATGAATTTTTTTAGATATCCAGCACATTTTGGCCAGTTAGAATGCCTAAAATTAATTGCATCTCCAAGGTTTACTGATAAACGTATTGGATATCTTGGTGCAATGCTTCTTCTTGATGAACGGCAAGATGTTCATTTATTAATTACGAATTGTTTAAAAAAGTATATAAAATGACTTTCAATATTGAATCATACTGTTAATTTCATATATTTTATTTAAATTTAATTTTCAACCATTGTAGTGATTTAAACAGTTCGACACAATTTGTAATTGGCTTAGCATTGTGTACTCTTGGTGCAATAGCTTCTCCTGAAATGGCTAGAGATCTTGCAGCGGAAGTAGAAAGATTAATGAAATCACCGAATGCATATATAAGAAAAAAGGCTGCTCTTTGTGCATTTAGAATAATTAGGCGAGTGCCAGAATTAATGGAAATGTTTTTACCAGCAACACGAAGTTTACTGACAGAAAAAAATCATGGGGTACTTATTACTGGCGTTACTCTTATTACAGAAATGTGTGAAAACAGCGTGGATACATTAAATCATTTTAAGAAGGTTAGTTGATCAATTTCTCATTCCTTTTTGAATTAAATTTTTTTATTAATTATGATAAGTGAAAACTCGGATTTACATACTTAAAATTGCTCTTTATGAAATAGTAAAATTTTAAAATCGTTAATTGTCTAAAATATTTGGTACATTTAAAAACTTTATAAGATTACAAAATATAATTTTGTTCTATTTAGGAATGCGGCCATCGAGAGGTAATTGCGAATTGCTAAGTGTTTTTCTCGCATGATTCGCTTGGCACAATTCCATACATATTTATAAGCTTTGCCATAATATAAAATAGTATTGTAAATTTATTGTTCACAGCTGAATTTTCAACATAAAAATAATACTGTACAAGACGTCATTCGGAAATAAAACCGTTACAATTTTTAATTAGAAATTGCTTCTATTTATTTTTATTCATTTGTCAAATAATTGCTTTTAATTTATTACATAATAATTAAACAAATAATTAATTTTGCATGTTTATATTAAGTTCATGATTATTATATCTTATATTAATGTTTATTACAACTGCTTAAAATATTATTAATTAGGTTCTGTATTTTTGTTAAATAATTTTAAAGGTAATTTTTATTTTTGTCAGATGTCTTGAAACGATGTTCGGTATATTTTATTTTCTTTCACGCCATTTTATTAATTCACAGGTGTTTCTCTTCTGCACTTTATGTGGATTTTAATTTATATTTAATCAGTATTTTTTATTAACAGCCTTTTCCTTCTATTGCAGATTGTGCCAAATCTTGTCAGGATCCTAAAAAATTTGATACTTGCTGGTTATTCTCCAGAGCATGATGTATCTGGTGTGTCAGATCCATTTTTGCAAGTTAAAATATTACGTCTTCTACGAATTCTAGGGCGCAATGATGTTGATGCTTCTGAAGCAATGAATGATATTCTTGCACAAGTCGCTACAAATACTGAAACAAGTAAAAACGTAGGCAACACAATTTTATATGAAACAGTTCTGTCAATTATGGACATAAAATCAGAAAGCGGCTTACGCGTATTGGCTGTAAATATTTTGGGTCGATTTTTATTAAACAATGACAAGAACATTCGCTATGTTGCTTTAAATACATTATTAAAAACCGTGTATGTAGATACAAGTGCTGTACAAAGACATCGATCAACGATTTTGGTAAATATTTTTATTTAATTAGAACATCTAGTTAAAAATCATTGTAATTTAAAATGTAATTATAACATACAAATACTTTTTCAGGAATGTTTAAAAGATCCGGATGTATCGATAAGACGCCGAGCTATGGAACTTAGCTTTGCTCTTGTTAATACAAATAATATTAGAAATATGATTAAAGAATTACTTTTATTTTTGGAACGTGCAGATCCTGAATTTAAAGCTCAATGCAGTAGCAATATAGTAATGTCGGCTGAGCGATTTTCTCCGAACAAACGTTGGCATCTTGAAACACTTTTTAAAGTCTTAATAGCGGTATTTTATTTTAAACTAGCATATAAAAATGAAAATCTAAGATTTTGCTTGGAAATTAATGTATTTTTTCATTTCTGCAGGCGGGCAATTATGTCAGAGACGATGTTGTAGCCTGTACTATACAGCTTATTTCTGAAACTCAGACTCAACAAGTTTATGCTGTAAGTGCATTGTGGCGTGCTTTGGAAAAAGATACGTTTGATAAGCAACCGCTAACACAAGTTGCTACTTGGTGTATTGGAGAATATGGTGATGTACTATTATACGGACCATATCCAGATGACGCCGATGCACCTGTCAATGTAAATTTATTTATTAATATATAAATATATATATATATATATATCTGTTTAAAATTTCATATTTCAGGTTGAAATATAAACGAATAATAATTATAAATTAATGATAAAGAATTATTGTATAAACATTTTTCTTTGATAATTTTAAGATCTTAATAAGATCATGAGATTATAAATAAATTTTAATCTTCGATCATATTTTAAATAAAATTAATCTGTTATAGTTAACTGAAGATGAAGTTATTGATGTGTATCAAAGACTATTGTGGAGTCCCCAAAATACCGTCGTTACAAAACAATATACGTTGTTGTCTTTAACGAAATTGAGTACACGATTTCAACGAGGAAATGAGTAAGTCATTTCAACGAAAAATGTTTTCAAATACCTTTTTTGTTTTAACGTTTTCGTTTGCTTCCTACCTATTTATTTTTATATAATATCCTATGGTAACGTTTTGCAGTATGCTACCTCCATTTTACAGGAAAATTCGACAAATAATTGACACGTTTGGCAGCAATTTGAATATTGAATTGCAACAGCGAGGAATCGAATTCTCACAACTTTTCAGGAAATACGATCATTTAAGGCCTTCGCTATTAGAGAGAATGCCTCCAATGGAAACTGCAAGACCACAAGCCAATGGTATTATTGGAATGGTAAATGGAGACCCAGACATGGATGATGAAAAATCTTCGATAATTGAACCTGGAAATACTACATCTCAATCTGATTCAGTGAGTTTTATCTTTCAATATATTAATTTTGTTATATATAATAATTTTTAATTTTACACACACACACATATATATATATATATATATATATATATATTATTTTTATAACGATATTAAAAAATGCTAAGTATCAAAAAATTAATTTCAATGTTTGCTTGACTATTATGTACATGTAATCTCTTATCTGTTTCAAATTAAAAATTTTTTTTTTAGAGTGCTCTTTTAGATTTACTTGGAAGTGGTGACTTAAGTTCTTCAGTATCTACTATGCCTGCTGGTAATACTCCTACCGTTACAACTCCTGCCACAAATAGCAATGATTTGTTGGACTTGCTTGGTGGTTTAGATTTAACAACACCTACTTCAATATCAGTACCTCATCAACAATTACCAACACAAATTTTCAGTCCTACAAATACTACCAATTATCTTGTAGATGGCTTATTGAACTCTTCTTCCATGTCAAATCCAAATGGTAAATATTAAATTAGACAATTTTTTACATTTTTCTATTTTTTATTATTATTACATAATTAATTTTTTATTTCGTGTCAGATGTACCAAGCATGGTTGTATTTGATAAGCAAGGATTAAAAATTACTTTCAAATTAGAAAGATCACTTGACAATGCAGATTTGTTAATAATTAATATGGTGGCTCAAAATTCAGGATTGTCACAAATTACTGATTTCTTATTTCAAGCTGCGGTTCCGAAGGTCTAGAAAAATATTGATTGTATTATTAGATAAATATACATTTAATTCTAACAAAATAATTGTATGTTTGCAGACATTTCAGTTGCATATGTTATCTCCATCAGGTTCTTTATTGCTTCCTTCAGGTCAAGTTACACAAGTTCTAAAAGTAACAAATATTAATAAGGTAAATTGTCCGGTTTTTGTTTATTATTAAATTATATATATATTGTATGATTAAATATTTAAAAAGTTTTATTGAAAAATAATCTAATTACCAAATTATATTTATAATTTAAATTTAACATAAATTTACTATTATACGATATTTTTATTTTATAACTATGTTTGTTTAAATATATTTGATAACAATATATTGTTACAAATTGCAATTGTATATACTTATTTTTATAATATTTAACTTCTACATAAATATATTTATATTTAATATGGAATTCTATTACTTGACGAAAGGAGAAAATTATCTTAAAACAATGTGAAACATATTTATCAGGATAAGGATAATATATTTTTATAAAGGCTATAAGAATGTACGAAAAGTCATTTAAAAGAACATTTATTTTTTATTGTAGGCAGCATTGCGAATGCGTTTGCGTATATCATATACAGGGACTGCTGGACCAATCCTAGAACAAACCGAAGTGAACAACTTTCCTACAGTTGCTATGCAGTGACAACACGTAATACAAAATTCAATTGTATATACATTTGCCTAAGATTTCTATCATGTTTCACATCGACTGAAAACAAATCAGTTTCATTTTAACATTACGTGTTGTATCATTATCATTCGCTGCTAAAAAAACAGTGCTAGCATAGAGCTACAACGTAATGGAAGTATGTGCTATAATTCAAGTGTAAAAAGAAACAAACAAAATATATCACTGATTCTAGATAGCTGTACGTCGATCAGGCTATAGAGTCGCGTATATATACGTTTATATATATAAATAAATGTTTATATGTATAAATATATATATATATATATATATATATATGTATGTATGTATGTGTGTTTCTGTACATACATACATTTTTTTGAATGTTGTTCTAAGGCCGTGAATATCACAGTCTCTTCTTTATACTTTGTGATTAACATCGTTGTGAAAAAAACAAACAAGACTACAAATGTACATATTAGTTAGAAGGTATTCGTGCGAAAGCGATCGCAAAAAATGATTTAATTAAGGGATATAAGTATTCACAATTTGGGAATCTTTTAAATAGTATTATTCTTACAAGACAGATAAACATTTTGAAAACATTCAGTAAATGAATTCATTTAAGCTGCTTGATGACTGTTTTACTTTTTTCGTTTATTCCATTTTATTATTTTTTTTAATATTGTTGCGTTTATAAATATTATGTTATGCTACAAATTAAAACGATATTTAATAGATTTCATAACAGTTGGCAAACAAGTTTGTAAATGTCGGAGTAACAAGTAGCATTTATATATTTTTGAGTAAATATAGTTTATACGATCATTGAAGAGCTGTTTGCTTTGTAGAGTCTGCCTCATTTATTATTATACATATAACGTATATGTCGTTCCACTTATCATTCTGTATTTAATGTGAATTATCTATTGTTATACGTTGTTAGTGCGATCATTATAATTTACATATATAAATATTGTATAAAAGTGCATAATGGCCATAAATTTAATTTTGATTCAACAAATTTGCTGAATTATGTGGTGCTAAAAATCTATATTATTTATAAATGAAATTTTATGTGAATCAAGAATTTAGAATAATTATGTGAGCATAAGTTGAAAGAAATAATTACACTTCAACTTAAATATTTTTTCAAATAAAATAAAAATTTGTATTTCTGATCAGATTATTACAGTATTTTTAAGTGGTTAAATAAAAATATTAAAGCAATGATTAATAAAAATTTTCGTTAAAGATTGTAAAATGATTAATAAATTAGATTTGGCATATTAGACCTACTTATAAGTTTTTAATCATTTTACTATTTTGATTTATTAAAAGACCAATTGTAAGCATATACTGTGATAAAATTGAATGATTTTAGATACATAAATAATCTCAAACTCTGTATGGATACATTATTTTGTCACTTAAAGTTGACTTAGAAAATTTACTATAGTGCATTATTGTACTAGGAATAAATTAATTATTTTACTTACTCCATATGATCTTATGAGATTGATGTGTACTGAACAATACAATTATCAGATATGAGATTATTTAACTGCTCTTATATAGACAGAAAAGTAAATATTTTTAGATTATAAAAATTAATTACAGTTATTGATTATATTAATTTTACTGTATGTTTATTAATATATCCTTTGAAGGTCAAAAGTATGATAAAAATTCTTGGTATAATTATGCGTTTTAGCTCCGTCCCTTGTATGTTATGTATGCAATAATTATGAATATGTGAGAAGATAATGAAAAAAAAGTAATTCAAATATTCTGAGTGGCCTTGACCTTCATTCTGTGACTCAAAAACAGCTTTTCAATGTATGAAACTCCGCCTACTTGTTCTTCATACTAATTAGTTTTATAGATATATAAATCGATGATGAATATCAATAATGATACAGATACTGTATATAATTTTTAGTAAATGAACGTGTGAAAATAAAATGTATTTTTATTCCAACAAGATAAATGTAAAATATTTTATTTATATCAATTTTTTAATTTACAATTTTATTTTTAGTTTCCCTATTAAGAGTGAGTTACTTTTGAAAAGCAAAACTTAAACAATTAAACAAAATAAAAATTAAAAAAACGAATTATAACAATTTTTATTTAAAAGTATAGTAAATTACATACAATATTAACTTTATTTTATTTCTAAATTTAATTTACTTTTTAAAAATTACAAACATTATGTGAAACCATTAGCAGAAGTTTGTTCATTAGTTCCAACTTGGTTGAAAAGTCTGTCTTTAATGATTTGCGCCATCAGTCCATGAATTACTTCAATAGTTGTTTTACTACTGTCTCTAGTAGCTTTGATTAACTTATCTACAGTGCTACGGTCATGTGGCTCTATTCCTCCAAGAACAAAACCTCGACCTAATGCTTGTTCTGATTGTTCTAATTTATCAGAAAGATCAAAAATCTGTCCAGTTGTATAATCTGTATTTGTTAAAAGACTAGAAGAACTTAAAGTATTAACCCAGTATTTATTCCAAAGGGAATCAAGTAATCGTCTATCTAATGATGACTTAAAATATGTTACTTCAAGTGAATAATATTGTTTGCAGTGAACTCCAAAATCTTCAATTTTATTTAAAGGTATTGTTTGATACTCTGAAGGTTCTTCATTTGCTGGTTTATATCCCTGTGCAATGAAAATTGAAAAAATTTTTATTCTAGAATATTTATTAATTGTATGAACCTTATACATGCTAAAATAATCTTAATAAATTTAAACAAAAAGTAACAAAAAAATCTCATCAAACTGTCTTATCTTATTAACAGATATTATTTAATTTGTTATTTTTTTTAATTCAGTTTGTATATATGCACAGAATTTAAATTCAAACTTTTATTTTTTATTAAATTTATTAAAAATAGATTTGTTCCTTAGTTTACCTTAGGATATGTTCTAAATGCACCTAAGCAAACTTTTC